AGATTGTAAGTGACACACAATCTTGATTTCCTGTTTGTTATTAATAATAGCACTACGCCCATTGACTCCCACCTCTTTATAAGGCTGTAGGCTGTGGTGTGCTCAAGGGCCAGAAGCCCAGACTTTAGCATCCTAGGCTTACCTGAAGACACCCTCCATGCTCAGGCACCTGGCAGGGAAACTTCACCATGTCCCCTGGCAGAAAGCTCTGATGTGTCTTAGATCAGTCACCATAAGTCTCAAAAGGCTACCGAAACCTACTTTTCCTCTCTTTTCTCTTCCGGTGAGACCCCCCGCTCTGCACTCTCCCTCCCGACTACCTACTTCTGTTTTGTCTTTTTAAAACAGGACTGGCCTGGTGGCTCATGCCTGTAATCCCAGCACTTTGGGAGGCTGAGGCAGGCAGATCACCCGAGGTCCAGAGTTCAAGACCAGCCTGGTCAACATGGAGAAACCCTGTCTCTACTAAAAATACAAAAATTAGGAGTGGTGGCGCAAGCCCGTAATCCCAGCTACTTGGGAGGCTGAGGCAGGAGAATCACTTGAACCCAGGAAGTGGAGGTGACAGTGAGCCAAGATCACATCACTGTACTCCAGCCTGGGCAACAGAGCGAGACTGTCTAAAAAATAAATAAATAAATAAAGGCCAGGCATGATGGTTCACACCTGTAATCCCAGGATTTTGGGGGCCTGAGGTGGGCAGATCACGAGGTCAGGAGTTCAAGACCAGCCTGGCCAACATCGTGAACCGCCGTCTCTACTAAAAATGTAAAAATTAATCGGGTGTGGTGGTGGGAGGCTGAGGCAGGAGAATTGCTTGAACCTGGAAGGCTGAGATTGCAGTGAGTCGAGATCATGCCACTGCAATCCAGCCTGGGCGACACAGCAAGTCTCTGTCTCAAAAAATAAATAAATAAATAAATAAATAACCACCCACAAGTGTTTCAAATGGTTTGTAGTTTACAAAGCACTTTCTCCTAGACTTCTCCCAACACCCTGTTAGTAAGGCAAGACAGTTGGTCACTTCTTTTTATTGTATAGCAATGAGAAAGCTAAGTTCTGGAGAAATGAAGGGCCTGCCAATATCCAATGTCTCAGGTGTGGTTTGGGTATAGACATGGAGCTTCTTCCTCCACTCACTACCAATTTTCCCCCCAGCTGCACTCAGGGTGCTACTTAATTACAGGGGAGAACATAATCTCCTAGTGAGGATTAGATATTAAGTGACATCTTTTGTAGTTGGTGCTTTGAAAACCTCCCGGCTTGGAGAATATGAAGACATTTCTTTGCCAGACAGAAAAGGAGTTCTTTTTATAGAATTTCCATTCTTTAAGTCACTGCAGAGCAGATTTCTGAGAGCAGTGACACCATGACCACGAAGGTAACCAATCACAGAGTCCACCATGCCCTACCCAAAGAAGGCATGTTTCTATTTTATAATTTTTAAAAACTGTATGAGTTTTTAGACTTGAAGACCAGTCACACAGATTAAAAATTAAATAACATTTCCCAATTAGGAAAGTGGTTTGATTCATACTGTCCTATACATCTTCATTGATTTCTTCCTTCCTTCTTTTCTTCTTTCTCTCCTCTCACATTTATTAAGTCCACACTATGTGCCAGGCCCTGTGCCGTATGAGGCAGCCTATATGTGTGCTTTGCTTTCAAAAGTATTCAGAAGTACAGAGATAAATTTCAGGAATGCCATGGCTTTTGGCAGTTCACTAATTCATTTGAAAAGTGCTTGGATGGTTTAAGCCTATGGTTTTCAGCCTGAGCGGCGTGTCAGTATCACTGGGCAGCCAGGCCTGGCTTCATGGACCTGTGACCGGTGCATTTGCACAGGGCCCGATGTTCAGAAGGACCTGCACTTGGTTTATTTCTCTGTGGTTGGTCACATTTTTGAACAAGGAGTCCTGCACTTTTACTTGGCACCATGCTCTGCAAATTATGTAGCCAATCCTTTGGGCAGCTTTTAAATATGTCAATGTGCAGGTTGTACCCAGACCAATTCGTCAGAATCTCTGAGGTAAGGCCCAGGCCTCTGGACTCTGTAAGTCTCTTCAGGTGATTCCAGTGGGCAGCCAGCTTTGAGAACCACTGAGGTAGAACAGAACTTCTCAACTGGAGTCTTCTTGTGTGTTGTGGAGGACATCAGATTTACTTGGAGCACTTTTCCAAACTCCACACGTTGATATATAGAAACTGATAAATACACTGACTTCCAAATATTCTGATGCCACCCAGCTCCCAGGCAGGAGGCTTACATAAAGGACATCTGCCTATGAAACAGTATCACTTCTTTTGCTCTCACCTGGATATTGAGTTGCTGTGATAGTCACTCTATATGACTTGTTTGGACCTGCATATTTGGGGCATGATAGTCCCTGAACTATAACTTCATATCTATGTAGCTTTATTCCCCATGGCCCTGCTAACTGAAACATAGCTATCTAGAGGCAGTATGGCAGGAAGAGATGGGTATGGACAACAACCCTGGCTGTGACTCCCACCTGTGTGATTGGGACATGTTTTCCTAGTGCCTCAGTTTCCTTATTATTTAAATGGCCATAGTAATACCTACCTCCCAGGAGTGTTGTGAAGATTGAATAAGTCATACAAAGTGCCTAGCACAGTTCCTGGCACATAGTAGGTGGTTAATAAATACATGTTTGTGTACTGTCTCCTCCACAAAGAAATATTAACACATCTTTACCCTCAACTATCAACTCTGGCTTTTTTCTAAACGAAAATAGAGCCCATTATTATGGCAACAAGGAAGAAATAATAACTAATATTCTTCCATTAGTATACTTATCAAATAGGTAATTTGTGTTAATTTAGCTCATAGTTATATATATATAGCATACATATATGCTATATATGCTACGTATCTACATGCATACATATATACGTTACATATATACATGCATACATATATCTAGACACATATATACATACATCCACATATATATACACACACTTATATACACACACATGTATGTGACAGGTCTGTATTGTCTAGTACTTTTCTTTGAATTTTACTCATTTTAAATACTAAATAAGCTATTGTAGTGTTTGTCTATGGAAGATGATGCTGCAGTAAATATATTTTTAACATACAAATTCAAATACTGGTACTTCTACTTCTGGATAAAGCAGAGATAAGAATCTTCAGCAGTTCGTAACCCAAGAGTGAGCAAGGCAAAAGCCAAACATATAATAATAAATATGATACAACAACTTTTACTGGCATGTCTGCTATGTGCCAAGCACCACAGTGGAGTGGATGTGCAAGCTACAAACATGCATGAGACTTGGTCTGACCTCCAGCAGTTCACCAAAAGAGCATATGATTCAATGTGAAAACCAGTGTTGCAGCCAGGTGCAGTGGTGCATACCTGTAGTCCCACCTACTCAGGAGGCTGAGGCAAGATGATTGCTTAGCCCAGGAGCTCACATATAGCATGAGCAACATAGTGAGACCCCGTCTCAAAAAAAAAAAAAAAAAAATAGAGGAAGGAAGGAAGGAAAGGAGGGAGAGAGGGAGGGAGGGAGATGGGAGGGAGAGAGAGAAAGGGAGGAAGGATGGGAGGAACGAAAAAGAACAGCCCCCCAAAACAAATAGTGTTATAAATGATATTTATCTGAGTGTTAGGTCCATGTTGAAATCTTCCTAATGGTGCTTAACCAACCTCTACTCCAGCCCCAGTTTCTATCAAGTTCTGTTGACTCTGGAGCAGTTTTTCATAATAGTCCTTTCATACAGCTTCCTTCCAATCTTTTTTTTGCAGCAAGAAAACAAAAGGAACTCCCAAATGAATCACAGGAGCAATGTTAACTTGCCTTTCTAATATGGCGAGTAATTTCTCTGATTGCTCACTTTGCTCCAACATTTTCTTCCAGAATCGGAAAGTGAGAAATTTTTCCCAGCAGAAAGCCATGTTTCTTTTGCTGCTTTTACAAGTAGACACTTAACTGCTTCACATGAAAGAATTGGAAGTTACCAAGCCAAATTAAATAATAAAATAACTTTTGAAAGCATGTTAAACAGGATTCAACAGTTTTTTTTTTTTAAGGCAGCTATGAAGTAGTGTCACCATAATTGTTTTTACTGTTGGTGACTTTACTGTGAAAATGTTTCAATGTTGTGGCATGCATGGAGGTGTGCAGCTCATGCCTGTTTAGAGAAATAACTTGCTATTCATCTGCCAAAAGTGCAGTTAGCTGATAGCCTCCAGCTGCAGCCCCTTCAGGGTCGACCCCGGCTTTCCTGCAGAGGCCCAGCTCTTCCCAGCAGCCCCCAGCCAGTGACTGAGCATGGCAGGGATGTGAGGGCCGGGCTGCTTCTGCAGTGAGAACTCTGCTCTGGCTCTCCCTTTTGGGTTAGCTGGGATTTCATCAGGTCTGCGTGGTGATCTTGGGCTGTCTGCCCAATCCTGCTTCCTCTCACTTTTGTCTTTCACAAGTGAACCTCTTCCCTTCCTAACTCCTCAGTGTCTGTTTTCTGGGGCACTCAGTAAACACAAATGCTCTCCCAGCAGTGTAGGAACATAAACAGTATACATCTCATTCAGAGGGCCAAGGTATCTGAACATGTCCCCTATCCCCTGAACGTTCTTGCACCAGGATCTGCTCAAAATGAATCATGATCCTGCCAAAGTGAAACTGACTCTTTCATTTCTATTATTCAGCTGGGACACAATGGAAAAATTAAATGTGGGGAGAAACAAACTCATATATATTCTGAAATTCCACTTTAGTTACCCAAATTCTTTCTAAGTATCAAGGTAAGGCATGTACTTTAGTAATCCTTTTGTGTTTGCCATGAACTGGTCACAGCCAAAACAATATAGTTACAATGAGAGAAGACTGTTTCAATTCCCGTCACTTTAATCACAATTCCACTTGGAGCACCATTGTTCTCCATTAGATGCCTTCCCTCTTGGTTCCACAGACTGAGAAGGAAGAGGATATTAATGGCATTTTTGCTGTTGCAGGGGAGTTTGGAGAAGTGTACAAGGGGCGTTTGAAACTGCCAGGCAAGAGGGAAATCTATGTGGCCATCAAGACCCTGAAGGCAGGGTACTCGGAGAAGCAGCGTCGGGACTTCCTGAGTGAGGCAAGCATCATGGGCCAGTTCGACCATCCCAACATCATTCGCCTGGAGGGTGTGGTCACCAAGAGTCGGCCTGTCATGATCATCACAGAGTTCATGGAGAATGGTGCATTGGATTCTTTCCTCAGGGTAAGAGCAACTCAGGGGTTTGATGACGCACTTAGATGCAGGTGAATGGTGGCTGGGGAGAGGGGTTCCATGAGTACAACCTACCATTCAGGAATCGCCTGATCCAGTGTGAATGGGCATTGGAGATGTTAGCAGAGATTTGTTGCTGAAAGAAGAGAACAAAACAGTGCTTGTGGGATCCTCAGGAGGAGGATGGCATGGAGTAGGGCATTGACAAATGCTTGTTGGATGAATAAAATGAATAGAGAGGGGCAAAGAATGGCCATTGGCATCTGCATGAATCACAGAGATTGAAGAGACTTTTGGCTGCTGTATAGCCCTGTGTGATTCATGCAGACAGCCGTGGCCATCTCTGCCTTTCACCAGCACAGCCACCCTCCCAGACTGCTCTGCATTTACAGGTTCATTTACAAGGCTGTGTCACAAGCATCCATGGGTATTTCTGTGGTTGGTGAAGATTCCCAACCAACTTGCAGCAGAAGTAGGGAGTTGCTGAAGGCCTTTGGCTGGGAGACCTGTAAAAGATCATTGTCAGAATATGCCCAAAGTAGAGCCAGGCCCACAGTGAAACCGTTTTCATTTCCGTAGGCTATCACTGAGCACCTAGATGAAGGGTGAGTGAGAATGGCCATGATGCCTGGAGTGGAAGCTGATAGCTTCAGCCAGGAAGCAGAAACTGAGAGCAGAGGGTCCAGTGGGCAGCATCAAAGAATGGGCAGAGCCTTCTGAGCAGGAACTTCAGGGTGATACCCAGTAGCTGGCTACATTGCCAAAGCAACCAAACAATAGCTGTGGCTGCAGATTAAATGGTCAGTCATGGACACATTGCTGGGATCACTGCTCTGGCCAGGCCCTATTCTGGATGTTGTGCCTATAGAGATAAAGGAAACCTTGCTCTAATGCTACATAACAAATCATCCCCAAGACCTCAGTGCCTTAGCACAACAACAATTTCTTTAGATCATGAATCTGCAATTTGGGCAAGGTTTGGGAGGGACACCTCTGATCCATGTGGAGTCAGTTGCAGTAGCTCAAGGGCTGAGGCTTAGAATTGTCTGAAGCCTCCTTCATTCATATATTAGGTGATCAATGCTGAGTGTCAGCTGCCACCTTTCTAGGTGGCCTGTTTGGACTGCCTTAGAGCAAGCTGGGTCTCAAGAAAAAGCATCCCAAGAGAAGAATGGGCAATCTGTGTTACTTTTGTGACCCAGGCTAGGAAGCCACATAGTGTCATTTCCAACATAGTGACAGGCCCAGATACAAGGGGAGAAAACAGGCCCCACATTTTGATGAAGGGACATCAACTCAATGTCTTCTTACACATGATAGCTGGGAGCTTTTGTTATGTTCATCTTAGAGAGTACCGCCTGCCACCAATGTAGTCCCTACTCCTGCTAGTGCCCAATGCTTCTAGCAATCATTTGCCTATCTTATACTTTTTCCCCCATGAGTTAAGTACAGATGTAGTAAGTGGAGAAGTTCTTAAATCTCCCTGGAGAATCTAGGGGAGGCTTCAAAGAGGGGGAAGAATTTATCTGAGATTAGAGAAGAGGAATTTGTCAGACAAGCAAGAAGCAGGCAGGTAGGCTGATGGAACAGCAAAAATAGTGTATATGAAGGCCAGAGTAAGTGTGGACCTGTTTGGTAATTTATCAACCCCTACATGGTAGCTCCAGCACTCAGAAACAGAGCTTAGGGGCTGTAGTGTGGAAGGGTAGCTGGGGCACTTGTCTAGAAGCACACTGCTGAAGCTACCTTTGTACAACAGGAACATGCTTTTTGCCCAGTCTGGGTCACTAGGCAGTAGTGGCGTTTGTTTTTCTGGGGGTGCAGGGGTGGGGAACAACTGATGTAGATTATTGGGCCCGTGCACCTTCCCTAGGACAGCCTCCTTGAGGGTATGGGGTCATGCTTTGTATTTGGAAACAAACATATACACCTAACACAGTGCACACCTGGTAAATGCTAGTTGACTGAAAAATTATTTCTCAAACAAAAATGCTAGGGAGTGGCATGAGAGCTCCAGTCATCCTGTGTGTACATTATCTCTCACTGTCCTTGCTGCCACACCTCTCATGTCAGTGCAAGGCATTGTCTATGCTTTCCTGGGGACATTCATTTATGATCAGAGATCTCATGAAGACAGTTGAATAAACAAAGTTGAATAAACTTGAATAAAAGGCAATGTGAGAAGGAAAAGCATTTTCTGGAACCACTGTCAAGACCCTTTTGGGAGTCATTTATTTCCTACCAGTCAACTGATTGGACTTCAGAGAGAGCCACTGCTTGATTTGGGGACTGTGATCACACTCCCTCACTGGAGTATGCGGGAGAACAGGGAGATTCATTCTCAGGAGCCGGCAGAAAATCAAAACCCTACACTGCTGTTCTTCCTAGGGCCTGTTTTCATTTGGGGCCCAGGTCACGGAGGCATGTTGGACACCAGCATTTCTCATGATGATGAGCTGAGCTTGCAGGGGAAGAAAACCTGGGGGCAAGAGAGGAGCAGAGGAAAACAGAGGAGCAGGCATGGTAAGAAAGGAGTGGTGGGAGCAGGCAGTGCCAGGAGGAGAGAGGGAAATGAAGCATTTCTGACTCCTCACACTGCATGGAGGCAGGTAATCTATAAATCTAATTTCAGCCTTACTACCGAACCCTGGAGCATAGCAACATTAATTGACGTATCTGCTGCTTGATAAAATCGAAAAATAGGTCATCAGTTCAGTTCTACAGGGTCCATCTTCTGGGAAGTAGGATAATTTTAGGATCCCTACTCAGAGAAGAAAGGAAAAGGATTAGTCCTCAATTTCTGCAACTGTTTCCTCCCCTCCAACTTCTCCTTTCCCCCTGGTCATAGCGTCTTTGGAGAGTGGCTACAGTTCTAGCCCTGAATCAGCATGTGAGAGATACCATTATGCTTCAACCACACATTCAGTAGATGGTTCATTATTACTAATTTTCTAAAAATTATTGTGCTGTGGATTATATAGCATACAAATCCATAATTAAATTTTTCCTTCTTGACACTCAAATTCAAGGGCTTCAACCTGGTGGCTCTTCTCTAATATTAGGAACAATTCCTGAAGCTGTGGCCAGTATCCCATGGTTTAGTTAACGTGGTTCTTGACGTGCTCCATAAGGCCTTCTTGCCTAAAGCTTGGCTTTGCGGTTGCTGCTGGTTCTTCCACAGATAATCATAACTGGAAGACACTTGAAAGTCACTGAGTAATGTCGAATGGGGACATTTCTCATCAGAGAAGCTCATTCATGGGCTGCAGCTAGAAGATAGCAACCCAGAAATCACGAAGAGAACACCAGATTGGAAGTCCTGAGACCAAGGTTCTGCTTTGGCTTCTGCTGTGAGTCACCCTGTGACCTGGAGCAAACCTGTTAACTCAATTTCCCAATTTATAAACTAAAGGCATTGAGCTAGGTGAGCTCGAAAGGTCCCTTTCAGTTAGGAAAAATCTATGATTCATTTTCTTTGAACAAATCAAATAAGGATTTCATTTCCTGAAGTGGATTCGTCAATGAAAGTTGAAATACCTAAATCCTTCCTGTCTAATATAAGGACCAGCAAGTGGCTTCGGTGCATTTGCAGAAAAGCAATTTCAGCAGAAAGCACTTCATGAAGGGAGGAAGGTTTAAATCACCTCACCTAGACCTGTATTTCTTCTCTGTGCTATGCTTTTACTATGTGCTCAGCATGGAGCCAGGTCCTTTCCCAAAGTCACCAAGAAATCAGTTAGTTTTTGTGTGTGTGTGTGTGTGTGTGTGTGTGTGTGTGTGTGTGTGTGTGTCTTGTTCATCTTTGAATGCTACTGTTCATATCTCTGGAAGTTCTTTTTGGAGAATTATACCAATCAACTGAGCATGTAACAGTTAAACATGCCAGAAAAATCTTAATATGTTTTTATTTTTAAATTTCACCAAGGTTACAAATTCAACAGACATGACCCTACCTATCTTGATATGTGGTTCTCTTGAAGATTCTAAAGAAAATATGTTGCCCGTTGCAGAGTCAGCACATTCCAATGGCAAAAGCACGAGACAGGAGTTAGAAGACCCAGATAAGACTAGCATCACTAATCCATCATGGTTCTTCTCCCTGCGAAGCTGATGCACAGCGTTTTTCTCCACACAGCATTTGAGGCCACCATTACCAGTTGATCAGAGATGGGCTGTCAGTGGAGAAGTGATTTACCATTCTGAACTTTGATTACTAGTATAACTCAAAACCACACCGTGATTTAAGGCTGATCACATACATTTTCTGGACCTCCTTTATGTTGTCTGTGAAAACAATATAATATTGCCTGCCTTGTCTACTGCACAGGACCAATTTTAAGGATCAAAACATATCAAAACATGTAAAGTATTATTTACCATTCAAAAGTCAAGTGATGGATGCTACCCACATTTGTGACTAGTTGATCCGAAGTTTAGGCCTGCATCATTAGATCCCAACCATCTACTACAATTACAGATGCCTATCTGTTACCTACTGAGCTCAGCATGTGCTGAGTACTGGGCTCCCCAAGAACAATGATCCCAGGATGTTTCCCTCACACACCCAGGAAGCCATGAGAACCAGAGTTCTGGTCCCAGATGTCCTCAGTCTCTCTCACCACGCACATCTGAGGTACACGGAAACTGAATTGTGAGCCGTTACTAAGGCTCTGCTGATATTAGCAGGGATCACTGCTACCATCTTAGGGCCCACAAGGCACTGAGCTAGGACCCTTCATATGTGTTATCTCTTCTAGTCTCACCAGAACCCTATGAAGAATGGACACTATGTTCTTATGTTATAGGTGCGGAAATAACTGCTCTGCAGGTTAAATAACTTGCCTAAGCCCACACAACCACTAAGCTGCAGAGCCTGGATCCAAATCAGGTCTGCTGGTTCCAAAGCCTGGACCTTTAATCATTTCTTGGTCTTTTTTGACCCAAGAAACTATAAGGATGACTAATCTAAATTTTAAAACAAATCGGATAATAAATAAGCTCTAAGAAGACTTAAACATCAAAGCAAAAACGTAAACACATTGCTGTATGCGCTTTCAACATTACTCTTCTCAAAGTTGTTTAAGCCACCCCAGTGCTCTCCCCAAATGCCATCGTTTTTAGGGAGACATTCCATATGTGTAGACACTGTTGCCTACACTTACAGAGAGGAAATAATAGACTGAATTGAAAAAATACAAGCCATGTGACTTGTGGCTGAGATACACCTCTGTAATATACAGAAATTGCATGACAACTTTCTGAAGAGGCAAATCCACAGAGACCTACTTGGAGAAAACACTTGGTGCTAGCAACAGCCTGGCTAACTTCTTGAGAAGGTGTTGATTGAAGTGTATTAGTGAGAAGGAAGATCCGCATCACTCACTGCACATCCAGCTCTCACAGATGGGCAATGTGCTGAAAACCAGTCAGAGTTTCCAAAAAGTAGCTCTATACTTTCTTTTTGAGTTGCTTAGAAGAATATGTTGTGGAGAAAGCATACATCCCTTCTCCTGGGCAGGTTGGGAGGTGGTTAAGGTTAGAGTTAGAAATAGCCTGGAACTTGGAGTGTGTCAAACACAGTGTGTTTGGGGGCCCTTCTACTGGCAGACATCTCCAGGAGGGGAGAAAGTCAATTTGCTCTATTCCTTCAACTGATCAAGGAGCATAACCCCCAGAACATAGATCCAGGCTTGCAATCTTGCATGAGGAACAGAGTTTCCAACAATTCATGCAATCATTGTTAGACTTTTTGATTGCTGTTGTTGTTGCTCATAAGTAGAGTATTTTTATAATAGGTCTTTTATTTTTCCTTGCTTATTTTTGCATAGAAATGCTTTTGCAGTAGCATATGCATGTGAGTGCACTGTGTAACATCTTGCATACAGTAGATACTCAATGATGGGAGCTCTTCTCATTGTCTGTGCTTTCTGGATTTCACATAAGGACTCTGGGACGCAGGTCATGGTTGTTTTGCCGAGTACCTGTGTTTAGCAGTAAACACAGAGTAGACCCCAAGTGTCCTACTTCCACCTCTCCTCCAGTCAGAGCATTCTAATGACTAGGCTGTGCTCTACTTGTAGAACATAATTCTCAGCCCTTTGGGGAGCATTTGGGGCTGGACTAGATGGGGAAATATGTTCTTGGCAGTATAGCCTAGGGTCTACTGATTTAACTGGTGTGTACAAAGTCGAGACCCAGGAGCTTTGGGGAGACAGGAGGAAGACACTGTTTTATTCACTGAAGAGTCTGTTGTCCAACAGAGGGAGGGCATCCACCCAAGAAACTCTGAGCCCACAAATGATGGGAGAGAGGGCAGCACTGCAGGTTGCCATGAAGAAGAGCAGCAACAGCTCCCATTCACTAGGAGAGTTCCCTGTGCCAGACGCTGTGCATGAAGTTCTCCTGACCCACGGTCCCTATGAGGAAGGTGTGGTTATACCAGTCTAAAGGCTGAAAGCCCTGGGATTACCCAGAGAAGGTGCTTTACACGCTTGATTTTGGAAAGAGGAAAAGATGTGTTCATCATTCATTCAACTTATGTGTATTAAGATTTTCTATCTACCTTAAAGTTTACAGCACTGATAATACTATGGTGACCAAAGAAGACAGAGTTTTTGTCCTCAAAGAGTATAAAATCAAGCAGCAGAGACAGACAGACAGACAGATACACACATACGATTAAAACTTGTGATATGTGCTAAGAAGAAGACTAAGAGCATGCACTAAACATTGTCATCAGAAAGTGCTAGTCGTATTTGAGGGAGGGGGCAGTTAAAGGGTTCCCTCTCTAAGAAAGTGATATTTAAGCGGAGAACTGAAGGGCGAGTAGATGTCGATTGTTGGAGGGAAAACAGAGGAAATAGCACATGCTAAGGGCCCTAAGTCAGGAAGAGTTTGTTTTGGAAAAGAAGAAAGGGTGCCAGTCACTGTGGCTTTAGTACATTAGTGATGGATATGGTGGCCTAAGGTAAGGCAGTCGCTGATCCCAAGCGGTCTCGTGGACCATGCTAAGGAGTTTGGAGATTTTTCTTAATGCAATGGGAGGCTATTCGATATTTTTAAGCCAGGGACTGACATGGCCTGATTTATGTCTTAAAAAGATGGCTCTGGCTGGAGAGAATGGATTGGGGGGCGGGCAAGGAGGCTGTTATAGGTGATGGATGGCAGCGACTTGGTTGGACTGGCGGCAGTGGAGATGGAAAGAAGTAGATGGGTTTCAGATGTAATTTGGAGACAAAATTGACAGGGCTTGGCAAGGAGAAGAGAACAAAGCATTCATGGAGAGGGATGGGGGATGGGAGTGGGGGAGGCAGGAGGATGCAGTATGTGGCTCGGCCTGCAGCAGATGGAAGCTGACAAGCAGCAGGGCCACAGCATCTCTCCCTCTGCTTAACCACTGAAGCCCGTCTTGATCCCAATGCCCTCTATGTCTTATTACAGCAAAATGATGGGCAGTTCACCGTGATCCAGCTTGTGGGTATGCTCAGGGGCATCGCTGCTGGCATGAAGTACCTGGCCGAGATGAATTATGTGCACCGGGACCTGGCTGCTAGGAACATTCTGGTCAACAGTAACCTGGTGTGCAAGGTGTCCGACTTTGGCCTCTCCCGCTACCTCCAGGATGACACCTCAGATCCCACCTACACCAGCTCCTTGGTGAGTCCTTCTTGGCATTCTCAAGTAGAAGCATGGCATGAGTGAAAGGGGACTCTGCGTGGCTGGGAACTGTGGCAGAGCACACTGGGAGGGAATGGGATCTGAACTGAGCTCTCCACTGAGAGACCAAGATGCCAGGAGGACTATCCAGCCGGGAGAAGCCATAGTAGCTGGTTGTTCAAGCAAGAAAGCAAGCATTTGGGCTTGGACTGTGAGGAAGGGACAGTGTCTCTTATGAAGCTATAGTGTTCCTCGGGAAGAGGAAATTTTGGAACAGCTGATTTGAGGGAATCCAAGCAGGTAGACAGTGGCACCAGAGGCATCTGTCAGCAGAGAGCAGACCCCAGGCATGCATGAGGCCTTTGATCTGCAGCTGGATTGGGTGCTGTGTCACCAGGTAGACTCTTGATCCCCTTCTCTCTTCTCTCTGTATTGCTTCCAAATAGCTCTAAGTACCGTCTACACGATGAGTACTCTTAAACTTGTATTTCCTGCTCAGCCTCCCCCTCTACATTCTGAGCAGCACTAATCATCTATATCCAACTGCTTAGTTCACACAATTTCATTTAGAACTTTAACAAGCCCAAAATAGAGCTTGGGATTTACTCTCCAATATCCTCTCCCTAGTCCCTCCATCTCAGTAGTTGGCACCACTTAACTAAAAGATGAAACCTAGGAATGATCTTTGATTTCTTTCTGTGTCCATCTATTTTAAATCCCTCAGCGACCCCCATAGGGTACCAAAAAATCTATCCCTCTGTCTCCATCTCTGCTTCCCCCAATCTGTTCCAAAGCACTATTCCCTTTCACCTGGATTGTTACAGTGGCTTCCTAACTGGTGTCCCTGGTTTCCTTTTGTCTCCTTACGTCCATTTCAACAGCACCCAAAGTGACTGATCTACCTACTTACCTGTCTACCTGTCCATCCTCTTTAAACCTGTGAAAGTAATGCATGATTATTACAAAAATCAAAACAATACAAAGAAGTAAAAGGAAATGCCAATTAGAATGGCAATCATTAAAAAGTCAGGAAACAACAGATGCTGGTGAGGCTGTGGAGAAATAGGAATGCTTTTACACTGTTAGTGGGAGTGTAAATTAGTTCAACCATTGTGGAAGACAGTGTTGTGATTCCTCATGGATCTAGAACCAGAAATACCATTTGACCCAGCAATCCTTTACTGGGTATATACCCAAAGGTTTATAAATCATTCTACTATAAAGATACCTGCACATATATGTTTTTTGCAGCACTATTTACAATAGCAAAGACTCAGAACCAACCCAAATGCTCATCAATGATAGACTGGATAAAGACTGTATATGTGGCACATATACACCATGGAATACTATGGAGCCATAAGAAAGAACGAGTTCATGTCCTTTGCAGGGACATGGATGAAGCTGGAAACCATCATTCTTAGCAAACTAACACAGGAACGGAAAACCAATCACTACATGTTCTCACTCATAAGTGGGAGTTGAACAACGAGAACACATGGACACAGGGAGAGGAACATCACATACCAGGGCTTGTCAGAGGGTGAGGGGCAAGGGGAGGGAGAGCATTAGGACAAATTCCTAATGCATTCAGGGCTTAAAACCTAGATGATGGGTTGATAGGTACAGCAAACCACCATGGCACACGTATACCTATGTTACACACCTGCATGTTCTGCACATGTATCCCAGAACTTAAAGTAAAATTTTAAAAGAAAAAGAATAAAAAATAAACTAAAATTCCCCTGAGGCAGGGATTGGTAAAGTTTTTCTCAAAGGGCTGTCTAATAAATATTTTAGGCTTTGCTGGCTAAGAGGCAAAATGAAGGATATCATGTAGATAATTATATAACCATTTAGAATGTAACTAACCCCGTAAGAAGTTATAAATGTCATTCTTAGCTCATGGACTATTAAAAAAGGGACCAGCCAAGTTTAGCTTTCAGACCACAGTTTATCTACACCTGCCAATTTCAACAATTAGGTGTGCCTTCTTTGGCATTTTTCTCTTCTGTCATAAATTTGAACATTTTTATTCTACAAAATTTGGATCATATTATGCCTATTCCTCTGTGATCTGGGGTGTCTTTTGGGCATCGTTGCTGCCAAGATTACTTTTCTGAAAGTTAGCAAACATTCACACTCCATCCACTGGGAATGTATGGCGCTGGGCTTCAGCATCCTCACCAGACCTGGAGGTGATCAGCCCTCACAAAGGGTTGCTGCTCCAACAATGAAAAATGATGCCTCATTTTAAAATTTCACATATGTCTACATTTTTAAAATTTTTAAATTTAATTTTTTGATTTTTAATTTTTGTAGGTACAGAGCAGGTGTATATATGTAAAAGGTTTATGAGATGTTTTGATACGGGCATGCAACGCATAATATATCATGGAAAACGTGGTATTCATTCTCTCAAGCATATATCCTTTGTGTTACATACAATCCCTTTTAGTTATCTTAATTTATTTTTTATTTTTTTTTTAATTTTTGGAGATGGAGTTTCACTCTTGTCATCCAGGTTGGAGTGCAATGGCATGATCTCAGCTCACTGCAACCTCTACCTCCAGAGTTCAAGAGATTCTCCTGCCTCAGCCTCCCAAGTAGGTGGGATTACAGGCACCCACCACCATGCTCAGCTAATGTTTTTGTATTTTTAGTAGAGATGGGTTTTTGCCATGTCGGCCAGGCTGGTCTTGAACTCTTGAACTCAGCTGATCTGGCCACCTTGGCCTCCCAAAGTGCTGGTGGGATTATAGGCGTGAGTCACTGCACCTGGCCTATTTATTCATTTTTTGAGACAGTCTTTAGTCTGTCATACAGGCTGGAGTGCAGTGGCGCGATCTCGGCTCATTGCAGCCTCTGCCTCCTGAGTTCAGGCGATTCTCCTGCCTCAGCCTCCCGAGTAGCTGGGACTACAGGTGTGCGCCACCATGCACTGCTAACTTTTTTTTTTTTTTTTTGTATTTGTAGTAGAGAAGGGATTTTGCCATGTTGGCCAGGCTGGTCTTGAAATCCTGGCCTCAAGTGATTCACTCGCCTCGGCCTTCCAAAGTGCTGGGATTATAGGCATGAGCCACCATGCCCAGCCTCTTTCAGTTTAAAATGTACAATTGAATTATTATTGACTATAGTTACCCTGTTTTGCTATCAAATAGTAGGTTTTATTCACTTTTCCTGGGTTTTTTTTGTTTTTTTTTTTTTTTTTTGGTATTTAACCATACCCCCTATACCACCCGCCTCCCCAACCACCCTTCCCAACCTCTGGTAACCATCCTTCTACTCTCTATCTCCATGAGTTCAATTGTTTTAATTTTTAGATCCCACAAATAAGTGAGAACATATGATGTTTATCTTTCTGTGCCTGGCTTATTTCACTTAACATAATGACCTTCAGTTGCATCCGTGTTGTTGCAAATGACAGGATCTCATCCATTTTTATGGCTGAATAGTACTCCATTGTATATAAGTAGCATCATTTTGTTTTAATTTACATTTTCAACTGACTGCTAGTGATATTGATATCTTTTCACATGGTGCAGGGATTTGTGTTTTCTCTTCTATTGTTTGTACATGTCCTTATCTATTTTTCTACTGGGTTGTTTGTTGATTTCTTAGAAACTTATAGAAAGTCTCTTTATATTACAGATATTACTCCTTTGCCTGCTCTGTGTGATATAATTTATCTTTTCCCCCATCTGTTATTCTTTTATATTGTTTATGATATCCTCTGGCTTATAAAGTGGTTAACATTCATGAAATAGCTGTCTTCTTGGGTTACCTGGTTTATTTTAAAAGTTATGTTCACTCCAAGGCTATAAAATATTTCCTAGTGTCCTGGGCTATTTTATTGGGAAGGGTGTTTGTTTTATATTTGAATATTTAGTACCTGTGAAATGTATTTATTTTTCCCACCATTTTATTTTGAAAAATTTCAAGCACACAGAGAACTTGATAGAATTTGGCAGAGAACAGTCATATACCTACCACCTAGATTCTAGAATTAATATCTTGGTACATTTGCTTTATCATGTAACTATTCGTCTATCCATCCCTCTGCCCATCCATCACACCATCTATTGTTTTGTTGTATTTCCAAGTGACTTGCATACATCATTACATATCACCCCTAGCCACTTTAGCATACATGTCTCTCACATGTATTTGTTTAATGTTCTTTTTTAAGGTAAAATGTGCGTAGAGTGAAACTCACAAGTCTCAAGTGTACATTTATAGAGGTTTTAAAAATGCACACAACTGTGTAACCCAAACTCTCATCAAGATACAGAAAATTGCCATCAAACCAGGAAGCCCCCACAACCTCATCCCTCCCCATTGCATCCTCACCCACATCCATACCCAGAGGCAACCACTGTTCTAATTTTTTTGACCATCAATTGGTTTTATAACTTCATATAAGTGGAGTCATACAGCATATGCTTTTTTGCATCTGGTTGCTTTCACTTAGCATTATGTTTAAGAGAACCGTTCATGTTGTGTGTGAAGCAGGAGTTTGTTCCTTTTATTGCTGAGTAATATTCCATGGTTTATTTGTCCATTCTCTTTTTGATAGACACCAGAAATATTCTGGAATTCATTTTTGACTATGTATTTGGAGGTATATTCTCACACTGTTTTGTTCAGGTGAACAATTATGCCAACACTACTTATTAAATATATTATTCATTTTTATTGAATCACACGTCATCCTTGACATATTAAGTTCATTATATGAACTATGTTTTGATTCTCAATTCTGCTTTTATAATCTATTTATTCTTATTCTCAACTATGTTGTCATGATTATAATAATGCTAGCTCCTGCCTATATTCTGATTATAGTAATATTATTAAAAATCTTACTGTAGGCTGGGCATGGTGGCTCACACCTGTAATCCCAGCACTTTGGGAGGCCGAGGTGGGTGGATCACCTGAGGTCAGGAGTTCGAGACCAGTCTGATCAACATGGTGAAACCCCGACCCTACTAAATACAAAA